GGGCCCCTGCGGATTGCTTGGCCCGTGGGGGCTGCGCGGGCGATGGCGCGCTCGTGCCGTCTGTTTCACGCGGGGCGAGCGCGCCAGTCCCCGAAGCTTACCAGTGTCAGTGCCGCTGGCCTGCTGGCCGCGGCGCCAGCCTGAGCTCTGGCGCGGCCAGCGTGGTCGCCGCCGCGGCGACCTCGAAACGCAACTAACTGCCGAAGGGGCGGCGGTCGGGGGTGCGGAGGCAGCGCTTGAGGCCCCCCCCTTTCCCTGCCTGCCCCCCCCCCCGCCCCCCGAGAGCTAACTGACCGCTCTAGTCCAGCTGGACTGGGTGGGGGCCCTGCGGAGTGCTTGGCCCGTGGGGCTGCGCGGGCGATGGCGCACTCGTGCCAACTGTTTCACGCGAGACAAGCGCGCCAGTCCCCGAAGCTTACCCAAGTCAGCGCCGCTGGCCTGCTGGCGGCGACGCCGGCCTGAGCTCTGGCGCGGCCAGCGTGGTCGCCGCCGCGGCGACTTCGAAAAATAACTGCCAAAAGGGCGGTGGTCGGGGGTGCGGAGGCAGCGCTTGAGGCCCCCCCATTTTCCCTGCCAGTCCCCCCCGCCTCCCAAGAGCTAATTGGCCGCTCTAGTCCAGCTAGACTGGGCGGGGGCCCCTGCGGAGTGCTTGGCCCGCGGGGGCTGCACGGGCGGTGGTTTCACGCGAGACAGGCGCGCCAGTCCCCGAAACTCACCCAAGTCAGTGCCACTGGCCTGCTGGCCGCGACGCCAGCCTGAGCCCTGGCGCGGCCAGCGTGGTCGCCGCCGCGGCGACCTCGAAACGCAGCTGCCAAAAGGGCGGTGGCCGGGGGTGCGGAGGCAGCGCTTGAGCCCCCCCCCCATCCCCCGCTTTTCCCCTGCCAGTCCCCCCGCCTCCCGGGAGCTAACTGACCGCCCTGGTCCAGCTAGACTGGGCGGGGGACCCTGCGGAGTGCTTGGCCCGTGGGGGCTGCACGGACGATGGCGCACTCGCGCCAACTGTTTCGCGCGAGACACGCGCTAGTCCCCGAAGCTCACCCAAGTCAGTGCCACTGGCCTGCTGGCCGCGACGCCAGCCTGCGCTCTGGCGCGGCCAGCGTGGTCGCCGCCGCGGCGACCTCGAAGCGCAACTGCCCGAGGAGCGGTGGTCGGGGGGCGGAGGCAGCGCTCGAGGCCCCCCCCCCCCTCCCTCCTCGTCCCTGCCTGCCCCCCCCGCCCCCCGAAAGCTAGCTGACCGCTCTAGTCCAGCTAGACTGGGCTGGAGCCCTTGCGGATTGCTTGGCCCGCGGGGGCTGCGCGGACGATGGCGCACTCGTGCCAGCTGTTTCGCGCGAGACAAGCGCGCCAGTCCCCGAAGCTTGCCCAAGTCAGTGCCACTGGCCTGCTGGCCGCGACGCCAGCCTGAGCTCTGGCGCGGCCAGCGTGGTCGCCGCCGCGGCGACCTCGAAGCTCAACTGCCAAAGGGGCGGTGGTCGGGGGTGCGGAGGCAGCGTTTGAGCCCCCCCCTTTCCCCTGCCTGTCCCCCCGCCTCCCGAGAGCTAACTGGCCGCTCTAGTCCAGCTGGACTGGGTGGGGGCCCCTGCGGAGTGCGTGGCCCGCGGGGGCCGCGCGGGCGGGGGCGCACTCGCGCCAACTGTTTCGCGCGAGACAGGCGCGCCAGTCCCCGAAACTCACCCAAGTCAGTGCCGCTGGCCTGCTGGCCGCGACGCCAGCCTGAGCCCTGGCGCGGCCAGCGTGGTCGCCGCCGCGGCGACCTTGAAACGCAGCTGCCAAAAGGGCGGTGGCCGGGGGCGCGGAGGCAGCGCTTGAGCCCCCCCCCCTTTTTCCCCTGCCAGTCCTCCCGCCTCCCGGGAGCTAACTGACCGCCCTGGTCCAGCTAGACTGGGCGGGGGGCCCTGCGGAGTGCTTGGCCCGTGGGGGCTGCACGGACGATGGCGCACTCGCGCCAACTGTTTCGCGCGAGACACGCGCCAGTCCCCGAAGCTCACCCAAGTCAGTGCCAGTGGCCTGCTGGCCGCGACGCCAGCCTGAGCCTTGGCGCGGCCAGCGTGGTCGCCGCCGCGGCGACCTCGAAGCGCAACTGCCCGAGGGGCGGTGGTCGGGGGGCGGAGGCAGCGCTCGAGCCCCCCCCCCCCTCCCTCCTCGTCCCTCCCTGCCCCCCCCCGCCTCCCGAAAGCTAGCTGACCGCTCTAGTCCAGCTAGACTGGGCTGGGGCCCTTGCGGAGTGCTCGGCCCGCGGGGGCTGCGCGGGCGATGGCGCACTCGTGCCAGCTGTTTCACGCGAGACAGGCGCGCCAGTCCCCGAAGCTTGCCCAAGTCAGTGCCGCTGGCCTGCTGGCCGCGACGCCAGCCTGAGCTCTGGCGCGGCCAGCGTGGTCGCCGCCGCGGCGACCTCGAAGCACAACTGCCAAAGGGGCGGTGGTCGGGGGTGCGGAGGCAGCGCTTGAGCCCCCCCTTTCCCCTGCCTGTCCCCCCCGCCTCCCGAGAGCTAACTGGCCGCTCTAGTCCAGCTAGACTGGGCGGGGGCCCCTGCGGAGTGCTTGGCCCGTGGGGGCTGCGCGGACGATGGCGCACTCGCGCCAACTGTTTCACGCGAGACACGCGCCAGTCCCCGAAGCTTACCCAAGTCAGTGCCACTGGCCTGCTGGCCGCGACGCCAGCCTGAACTCTGGCGCGGCCAGCGTGGTCGCCGCCGCGGCGACCTCGAAACGCAACTGCCAGAAAGGGGCGGTGGTCGGGGGTGCGGAGGCAGCGCTTGGGGCCCCCCTACTTTTCCCCTGCCTGTCCCCCCCCCCCGCCTCCCAAGAGCTAACTGACCGCTCTAGTCCAGCTAGACTGGCCGGGGGCCCCTGCGGAGTGCTTGGCCCGTTGGGGCTGCACGGACGATGGCGCACTCGTGCCAACTGTTTCACGCGAGACAAGCGCGCCAGTCCCCGAAGCTTACCCAAGTCAGTGCCACTGGCCTGCTGGCCGCGACGCCAGCCTGAGCTCTGGCGCGGCCAGCGTGGTCGCCGCCGCGGCGACCTCGAAACACAACTGCCCACCCCACCTTGCAAACGGGCGGGCGGGCGGGCGCGCGATGCTCAGCGAGCCCCTCTCACTCGCATCCACCCGAGCGAAGCTCGCGCGATCGGATGCACACCGCAACGCGAGTAATCGAAACTTCTCGGGAGACAGGCGTTCGCCTCTGAGATGTCGCTGCGCCCGGCCGCCGACGAACACAGCCGTAACATGTTTGGCCCAGCCCTTGGACTTCGGCTGCAGCATCGCGGGCGGCGGTGAAGCAACCAGAGTCGTCGCCGGCGGCGTCGGCAAGATAGCGTCGGCAGCGGCGCTTCCCGTTCTTGTCCGGGTAGGTTCCCCTCAAAATGGCCGTTTCGCTCGAAACATCCTCGAACAATTGAAATGTTGAAGCCCTGTGGTTAAGATGTTCTTTGTTGAAAATGAGGCTCTCGCTCGGGACGTCCTCGAAAAATGAGCTACTGAGCTCGCTCAAGAAATTATGCGAATCGTTGGAAATTGCCGTTTCGCTCGAAACATCCTCGGAACATTGAGATGTTGGAGCCGTGTGGTTAGGACGTCTGTTGTCAAACATGTGGCTCTCGCTCGAGACATCCTCGGAAACGGCACTCGCAACATCTTAGTTCGAGGTCCTGTCTCCTCCATCTCTTCCGTCTCCTACGTCTCTGACGTCCCCGTCTACTCTCCTCCGTCTCTGAAGTCTCCTCCGTCTCCTCCGTCCTCCTCCTCCTTCTCTTCCCCCTTGTCCTCTTCCTCCTCGCCCTCCTCCTCCTCCTCCTCCTCCTCCTCCTCCTCCTCCTCCTCTCTTCTCCGTCTCTGAGGTCTCCTCCGTCTCTGAGGTTTCTGAAGTATCTGAGGCCTCCTCCGTTTCTGAGGTCTCTTCCGTACATGAGGTCTCCTCCATCTCCTCCGTCTCCGTCTCCTCCCCCCTCACTCCTCCTCCTCCTCCTCCTTTTCCTTCTCCTCCTCTCCTCTTGCTCCTGCTCTTCCTCCTGCCCCTCATCTTCTCTGAGGCCTCCTCCGTCTCCTCCGTCTCTGCAACTCCTCCGTCTCTGAGGTCTCCTCCGTCTCCTCCGTCTCTGAGGTCCGTTCCGTCTCTGAGGTCTCCTCCATCTCTGAAGTCTCCTCCGTCTCTGAGGTTTCTGAAGTCTCTGAGGTCTCCTCCGTCTCTGAGGTCTCCTCCGTCTCCGAAATCTCGTCTCCTCCGTTTCTTAAGTCTCTTCCGTCTCTGAGGTCTCCTCCGTCTCTGAGGTCTCCTCCGTCTCTGAAGTTTCTGAGGTCACTGAGGTCTCCTCCGTCTCTGAGGTCTCTTCCGTCTCTGAGGTCCTCCATCTCCTCCGTCTCCGTCTCCTCTTCCTGCGCCTCCTCCTCCTCCTCCTCTTCCTCCTCCTCCTGCGCCTCCTCCTCCCCCTCCTCTTCCTCCTCCTCCTCTTCCTCCTCCTCCTGCTCCTCCTCAACCTTTTCCTTTTTCATCACGCACGCACGCCGCACATCCCCCCCCGCCCGTCGCCCGCATAGCACATCCCGCGCGCACGCCGTACACCCCGCCCGCCCGTCGCCCTCATTACACATCCCGCACGCACGCCACACATCCCCCCCGCCCGTCGCCCCCATAACACATCCCGCACGCACGCTGTACATCCCCCCCGTCCGTTGCCCCCACTACACATCCCGCGCGCACGCCGCACATACCCCCCCCGTCGCTCCCATACCTGCACACACGCGCGCGCACACGCACACAGCCGCTCACACAAGCACATACACAGGCACGCGTACATACACGCACACTCGCACCAGAGTAACCACAGCAACCACAGGCAACCACTAAGCGCTTGGTGTGCTCAACCAAACGTTCTCTGACAAGCCTTGAGGACAAAGCGGCGCTTCCCGTTCTTGTCCAGTCAGGTTCACTTTGAGGTCAAGTGGCAGATGCTACTATCCTCCTGTTCCTCATCTCCTTACTCCCTTTGACTGCAACCGTCTACTTCTTGTCCTGGGCGCGTTTTCGAAGTCGCGTCAGTGGCAACACGGCAGCGCGAAGGAAGGCGTAGGGCCAAGACGAATGCGGCGGCAACGCGTCACTTCTCCAGGTTGATGCTGGTGCCGAACTTGGAGTAAAGCACCTCGGTGCCGAGCGCGTCTGTGACGGCTTGCACTGGCTGCACCCCCTAACAGGAGACGCTGCACGACCCTTTACCGAAGCGCCCCCCCGCGCCCAGCGCCAGAGGGTGCCCCGAGGCCTGCGCGCTGCCTCACAGAACCTATGCCTGTGCATATGCTCGCTTCGGCGCGCTCAGAAGAATCGGCCAGCGCCCTTTTCGGACCCGGATCTGGGGCGCGGCCCGAGCACTGGAGCTCCTCCTTTCAGCGTCTTGTCAGCACGGAGCTCAGGGCATAGGAGTGAGGAGGCTTGGGGCGGGAGGAGTTCGGGGCGAGGAGGCCGAGACCTCCGACGCCGTGCCCTTCCACGGCGGGGGCACGGGAGCCCTCAACCAATTCCCGGGCGAGACGTTTTGAGTGTGGGCGGGGGCTGGCGCCCCTGGGCCAGAAAAAGCACCCAGACGCTGGAATCGTGTAACAAAAGCATTGCGTCAGCCCAGGTCATGTCGCGATGCCCAGGGTGTCGGGGAGGAATGGAGCGGAGGAGAGTTATGGGAAGGGGCTCCTCCAGGCGCGAACACGGAAGAATTGTCCAGAGCCGCCCGCGACCCGACCACAAGAGATAGAACCGACTAAGCCGCCAGTGGCTCAGGCCTCCCAGGAAGGAGAAACACCGACCGATGTGTGAACTCCATGTGCGCGACAAGGAATCGGTGGACCCTTGTTCCCTCCCCCCCTCGCCCTTGTCCTCCTCCTCTCCCCCCCTCCTCTCCTCCTCCTCGTTCCCCTCCTGCGTAAGAAGCCCCCCGCCTTCGCAGAAGGCCGCCTCCAGGGGCGGGCGGGCTCCACGGGCTCTCGGTTCTTGGAGGCGGCTGGGGGGGCTGAGCTGGTTGGGGCCCCCAGACAACCGGTCAGGAGGGGGGAATGAAACCACATCCGCTCAAAACCGGTCCCTGGCCCCCTCCTGGGGTCCATCTGGTGTTCTTGACGGCCCCGGGGTCAAAAAACGGTCCCAGGATGCCGAAAAAGGCAGAAAGAACTCCCGGAACCCATACAGAAACCTCGAACCTGCCCGCTCTTCCTGCTGGCCAGAACCAGGGCTGGGCCACCTCAGACCCCCAGCCGGCTCTAATTTTGATTCCTTCGTCTCATCGATTTTGATGCGGCCAGCCTGCGTGGGCTCCCCGACCCCACGGCGGCGGTGGAGCCTGCTGCCGAGCACAGAGGGGGTCAAAGAGGCATGGTCATCCTCTTTCGAGCCTCCTGAGACGGACCAGTCAGGCCTTGCGCCCGTCGTGGTGAGTGGGGATGGTGACCCTTTGGTGCAGTCTGCTCTCCGGGCCGTCCTCCTGCCGTCATCCGCCCGAGACCTGGCCGCTCGCCCTCCCACCTCTCCTCGCGCTCATGCCTGTATATCCTACCGCCCTGGCTCGGCGACGGGCAAGACTGACAAGATCTACGGCACTCCCGCTCCGTCCCTCTTCCTGAGAATGTAACTCCTCCCTGCCGCGCTACCAGACGCGTCCGCAGGCTGGGTTGAGGCTTTTGCTTGAGACTTTCTCGCATTAAATGGTCCCGAAGTTCAAAGCTTCCAACACATCGTTTTCAAACTGTGGCTCTCGCCTTAGCGCCGCGCACACGCGGATGGATGGCTCGTCGCTTTCACAAGTCGCTCTCGTCTCACCGCCGCGCAAGGTCGTTTATCAACTTGCGAGGTTTATACTGATGGAGCTTGGCATGTCTTCAACATGGGGCTTTCGCCTGAGACTTCCACTGGCTTTCCCTCAGCAACACCATCACAAACGTAACATTGATAGTTACACGGATGGAACCCAGCACCTGTTCAACATGGGGCTCTCGCCTGAGATTTCCCCAAGTCCCCTCAAAACAATACTGCACATCATCAATTGTGCAATAATTCTACCGCTGGAGACTGACACGCTTCCTCAAAGCATGTCGCCACACGTGTAATGTTGCGCAATCTCTACACGGGTGCAAGTCGGTTCCTTTTCAAAGCTGGGCTGTCGCTGGGCACCGCCTTCAGCTTCTGTAGCAACCGACCTCGTGGCATTCCATATACGTAACTCGAAAAAACTATGTCTTCAAAACGAAACTCCAGCCTGGATTGCGGGCCCATGGGGTTCTCACATTTCGAGGAGGGCTGCTTGTAGGGACTAATGGGGACCGTTGTCACATCTTGGGCTTACTCTGGCCCTCCTTTTCCTTCTCATCCCTTCTTCTCCCTCCTCTTCCTCTTGTCTGTTGCTCCTTCTCTCGTCGTCGTCGTGGTCCTCCTCCTCCTCCTCCTCCGCCTCCTCCTCCTCCTCTTCCTCCCCCTCCTCCTCTTCCTTCTCCTCCTCCTCCTTCTCCTCCTCCTCCTCCTCCTCCTCCTCTTCCTCCTCCTCCTCCTGAAAAGCCTCCGCCAAGATCCCCCTCCACGGCTTCCGCCGTCTCCTTGGCGGCGCCCTCCCGCCCCCTCGAGGGCGCCGGGGTTCTTCTTTCTCGTCCTCGAGGATCGAAGACCGGAGATCCTCGATGCTCTTGGGGCCTCTGGGTGCCTTGGGATGCCTCCGCTGGGCTCCGGGGACCCCTGGAGACCCCCAGGGGGCCTCGGGAGATCTCCCGCTCTCCACCCCCCCTTCCCTCCCCTGCCCCGAGCCACGAGCGCGGCCGGTGCCCAACCACGGGCGCATCCCCGTTCCCGCTCGGAGGCGAAACGGTCACTCCATCCTGCGCCCGCCCTCACGGCCGAGGAGGTGAGATGGTCGGGGCCACCTTCTTGAGAGCATCCATGTCAGTCTTGACCTGCTCGATCTCGTCTGTGAGCTGGCTGAGCCGCGCCTCGCTGACAACATGATAAGCAACACATCGCGTCTCTGGCCACCTCAGTCTGATGTTCCCGCATTCTCAGACTTCCTCTGTGCGCGAAGTCTGGAATACAGAGCCTTCTGCCGTAACTCGGATAGGGGCTTAACTGGACGAATGATAGATACCTGGGGGAAGTGTGCCGGGAGATGCTCTGGTGGAGAATCCGGCCGAGAGGCCCGAAGGCCTTGCCCGAAAGTGTGTATATATGTATATACATATATGTATGTGTGTGTGGACATTCCCAGATCCCACTATACTCTAAGCGCCTTCCTACTGCAATAACCGTGTTTTGTTTTTGTTCGAATGCTGTTGGAGGGCGGGCGCAGGCCTAATTTACTTCTTGGGTTCGTGTGTGTGCCCATTCCCCAGATGATCGTTGTTGTGGTTTGTCGTGGTTTTCGAATGTCCGTTGGCCGCGCCTTGCCTTACCTGCTGGCCTCCGGTTGCTCGGCCACTTGGCTGCCCCTTGCACGGCTGGTTTTCGGTTGTTTGCGGCTGTTTTCGGTTGTCCGTCGATTGTTCTGGTCGCGCCTGGCCCCGTCGGCTGGCCCTCGGTCGCTCGGCCGCTCGTCTGGCCCCTTCCCGGGATGATCTTGGCCGTTTCAGGGTGTTTTCGGTTGTCCGCCGCTTGCTCTGTTCGCGCCTGGCCCCTCGGCAGGCCCTCGGTTGCTCTGCCCTGCGGCTGCCCCTTCCCTGGCTGGTTCTGGTTCTTTGTGGTTGTCCTCGTTTCTCCGTCGGTTGCCCTGGTCGCGCTGGGCCCCGTCGGCTGGCCCTCGGTCGTTCGGCGGTTCGGCTACCCCCTCCCTGGCATGTTTTGTTTGTTTTCGGTTTTCCGTCGGAACCGTCGGTTGCTCTGGTCGCGCCTGGCCCCATCGGCTGGCCCTCGGTCGCTCGGTCTCTCGGCTGCCACTCCCCTGGCCACTTTTGGTTGTCTTCGGTTGTCCGTCGGTTACCCTGGTCGCGCCGGGCCCCGCGGCTGCCCCTCGGTCGATGTGTCTCTCTGCTGCCATTTCCCTGGCTGGTTTTGGTTGTTTTCGGTTGTCCGTCGGTTGCTCTGGTCGCGCCTGGTCCCATCGGCTGCCCCTCGGTCGCCCGCCGTCTCGCATGCCCCTTCCCTTGCTGTGTTGGGCTATTTTCGGTCCTCGGTCGCTCGGCTGCCCCCCCCCCCCCCGGCTGGTTTTGGTTATTTTCGCTTGGCCCTCGCTTGGCAATCGGTTGCTCTGGTCGCGCCTGGCCCCTCGGCTGCCCCTCGGTCGCTCGCTCGGCGCTTCGGCTGCCCCTTCCCAGGCTGCTTTTGGTTGTTCTCCATTGTCCGTCGGTTGTCCGTCGGTTGCTCTGGTCGCGCCGTTCCCCTCGGCTAGCCCTGGGTCGCTCGGCGTCTCGCATGCCCTTCCCTAGCTGTTTTTTGTTTACTTTCGGTTGTCCGTCGGTTGCTCTGGTCGCGCTTGGCCCCTCGGCCGCCCCTCGGTCGCTCGGTCCCCTCGGCTAGCCCTCGGTCGCTCGGCGTCTCTCATGCCCCATTTCCCTGGCAATTTTATTGTGTACGTTCGGTTGTCCGTCTGTTGCTGAGGGCGCGTTTGGCCCCTCGTCCGGGTCCCGGGAGATTGCCGAACACCTGGTTCCAAAGATTTTTCCTGAGACGGCTCCAAGACGGCCCAAGATGGTCTCCAATATGCATCCAAGACGGCCAAGATGGCTTCCAAGACGGGTCAGATGGCTCCAAGATGCCTCCAAGACGAGCCAAGATGCACTCAGCACGGCCTAAGATAGCCTCAACATGGCCCCAGACGGCCCAAGAGGCCCAAATCATGATTTTCCGTAGGTTTTTGAAGGATTTTGGACTTTGCACCTTTTCGGTCTGCCGACGGCCCCCGACGGCCCAAGAGGCTCCCAAGATCGCCCAAGAGGCCTCCAAGATGGCCCAAGTGGCCTCCAAGACGGCCCCAAGAAGGCCCCAAGACGGCCCAAGAGGCCCCCAACACGCCCAAGATGGCCTCCAAGACGCCCATGATGGCCTCCAAGACGGCCCCGAAGCGCCCCAAGAGGACCCCAAGTCGGCCAAGAAAGGCCCCCAAGACGGCTCCCGACGGCGTCAGACGTGCCAGGAGCCCACCAAGATGGCCGAAGTTGGCTCGAAGCTGGCCCAAGACGGCCCAAGAGGCTCCCAAGAGGGCCTCCAGGAAGACCAGAGGAGGCCAAACACATTGAAATTCATTAGCTTTTTGAGGAATTCGACATTTGCTTCTTTTCGGCCTTCCGACGGCCCGAGACGGCCCAAGAGCCCCCAAAGATCGCCGAAAGATCGCCCAAGAGGCCTCCACGATGGCCCCAGAACGGCCAAAGAGGGCCCCAAGACGGCCCCAAGAGGCCCCCAAGACGGAACAGGAGGCCTTTAAGACGACCAAGACGGCCTCCAAGACGGCCCAGAAGTATTCCAAGAGGGCCCCAAGTCGGCCCATAGAAGCCCCCCAAACGGCTTCCGACGGCGTCAGACGGACCAGGAGCCCACCAAGAAGGCCGAACAACGGTCCCTAGAGGCCCCCAAGACGGCACAGGAGGCCTTTAAGACGCCCAAGATGGCCTCCAAGACGGCCCGGGAGCATTCCAAGAGAGCCCCAAGTTGGCCCAGAGAGGCCCCCCAAACGGCTTCCGACGGCGTCAGACGGACCAGGAGCCCACCATGACGGCCGAACATGGCCCTAAGATGGCCCAAGACGGCCCAAGAGGCCTCCAAGAGGGCCTCCAGGAAGGCCCGCAAAGGCCAAAATCATTGATTCCCCACGAGTTTTGGAAGGATTGTGCCATTTGCCTTTTTTCTGCCTTCCGACGGCCCGACACGGCCCAAGTGCACCCGAAGATCGCCCAAGAGGCCCAAGACACGGCCCCAAGAGGCCCCCACGGCCCACGACGGCCCAAGAGGTCTCCAAGACGCTCAAGATGGCCTCCAAGACGACCCAAGAGCCCTACAAGACGTCCTCCAAGAAGGCCCGAAAAGTGTCAAAATGGCCTCCAGGCGGCCAAGATGACCTTCAAGATGCCCACGTGTTCCCCTAAGGCTTTCCAAACCGATTCGGGGAACACATGGTCCGATAGCTTGGCAGGTCTGGCCTCAACGTTCGGCCACATAGGCGCTTCCAAAAAGGCAGGGGGCGGCGGTGATTCGCCGTAGTCGTCTTCGATCCGCCACCCCCTTTGGATTTATCAAAGGGGTGCCTGGCGTGCCAGACGATATGGCTTTTGGTTTTGGTTCTTTTTCCAAAAGAACTCCCCCTGGGGCTTCGGCCCGTCCCGCCGGCCACCCAGAAATAATCTCAGAACGCATCCCTCGTGCCTCCGTTTCCTCCAGTTGGCCCAAGATGGCGTCCAAGACGGCCAAGATGGCCCAGGATGGTCTCCAAAACATCTCCAAAACGACCCAAGATGGCCTCCAAGAAGGCTAAGATGGCCCCAAGATGCATCCAAGACGCCCCAATATGGCCTCATTATGGTCTAAGACGGCCCAAGAGGCCCGCAAGAGGCCTCCAAGACGGCCCAAGAGGCCTCCAAGAGGTCCTCCAGGAAGGCCCGACAGGGCCAAAATCATTGATTGTCCTCAAGTTTTTGAAGGATTTTTGCATTTGCGCCTTTTCGGCTGTCCGACGGCCCAAGACGGCCCAAGAGGCTCCCAAGATCGCCCCAAGATCGCCCACAAGGCCCCCAAGAGGGCCCCATGACGGCCCAAATGGCCTCCAAGACGGCCCCAAGAGGGCCCCAAGACGGCCCAAGAGGCCTCCAACACGCCCAAGATGGCCTCCAAGACGCCCATGATGGCCTCCAAGACGGCCCGAAGCGCCCCAAGAGGGCCCCAAGTCGGCCCAGCAAGGCCCCCAAGACGGCTCCCGACGGCGTCAGACGTGCCAGGAACCCACCAAGATGGCCGAAGTTGGCTCGAAGCTGGCCCAAGACGGCCCAAGAGGCCCCCAAGAGGGCCTCCAGGAAGGCCCGAAAAATGTCAAAAACAAAAATGTTATATAGGTTCTGAAAGGATGTTGACATTTGCTTCTTTTCGGCCTTCCGACTGCCCGATATGGCCCAAGAGCCCCCAAAGATCTCCGAAAGATCGCCCAAGAGGCCTCCAAGATGGCCCCAGAACGGCCCAAGAGGCCCCCAAGACGGCCCCAAGAGGCCCCCAAGACGGCCCAGGAGGCCTTTCAGACGCCCAAGATGGCCTCCAAGACGGCCCTGGAGCATTCCAAGAGGGACCCAAATCGGCTCAGAGAGACCCCCTAAACGGCTTCCGACGGCGTCGGACGGGCCAGGTGCCCACCAAGACGGACGAAGATGGCACTAAGATGGCCCAAGACGGCCCAAGAGGCATCCAAGAGGGCCTCCAGGAAGGCCCGAAAAGGTACAAATCATTGATTTCCCATGAAGGCCCGAAAAGTGTCAAAATGGCCTCCAGGCGGCCAAGATGACCTTCAAGATGCCCACGTGTTCCCCGAAGGCTTTCCAAACCGATTCGGGGAACACATGGGCCGATAGCTTGGCAGGTCTGGCCTCCACGCTCGGCCACATGGGCGCTTCCAAATAGGCAGGGGGCGGCGGTGATTCGCCGTAGGCGTCTTCGATAAATGCAGAGTGAGAAGGGGAGGGACGGAAAAAGAGAGAAAGGACGAGGGCGAAGGAGGATCACATCAGTCGGAGCGTTCCCGGATCGGCGGCACTGGCCGGAGGCCACTACAATATGTAAGTATTGCGTCCCCGAGGCCACAAACGCTCGTAAATCACGCAAGCATCGCGTGTCCGAAGCCATGAATCTTTGTAAATTGCACGATATTCGCGTCTCCGAAACCATAAGCCTGCGTAAATGACTCGATAGTTGCGACCCCGAAGCCATTTCCCCTTGTAAAATACGCAATGACCGCGTGTCCGAAGCCATCAACTTTTGCACATTACACAATATTCGCGTCTGCGAAGCCATGAACCTGTGTAAACGTCGCAAGATTTGCGACCCCGAAGACATACACCCTCGTAAATTATTCACTATTCGCGTATCCGAAGCCGTAAACCCTCGAAGTACAAAACCGAATTCAACAATATCATCAGCATCTCAACTTATCTTGCCGATTACTCATCGTCTTCGCGTGAAGTCCCGGCGCTGCTTCACGGCGGCGCCAAGGTCTCATGATTTCGCTCCTGCATTGCCCATTATCCGAGAGAGGGAGCCGGCGGCAGAGGGCGAAGCCCTTAAGGATAATCTTTAAGTACGCATCTATAAAATACATGTCACAGTCTACGGGTACACCTATTTTGCGTCATTGCGTCATATGGCATGGCGTTTCCACTTGTATTCGCACAAACATGGAATGTACACCGTGGACTCAAAACGCTTCTAGGACAAAGCCTTCAGATCAGGAAAAACACATAAGCTTCGAGGGGCACGACCTCTCCTTCTTCCCTGCTGGCCGCAACCAGTGCTGAACCACCTCAGACCCCCAGGCAACTCCAACCCCCTCCTCCTCCTGCTCCTGCTCCTGCTCCTCCTCCTCCTACTCCTCCTCCTCTTCTGCGGGAGAGGGCAAGGAGGGGAAAGCGGAGACCGCGGGCCTACCTCCACCGTTCCCTCCTCCCCAACGGCCGCTCCTCGGCCGACTCCGTCAGCTTGCTGAGGTTCTCCACAGCGGTGTCCTCCTCGACGCCAGTGAAGGCCTTCGGGCGGGAGGTGGAGACGGCAAGACGACAACGACGACGACGACGACGTCGATGTTTTCGTGTCGGACGTTCTTGGGCATTTCCGGGGATCCTCGTCGCCGCGGCTGAACGACTTGAACAACTGGATGGGACGGACATGGGGAGGCAATGGGGAACTGAAAACTTTCATGGTGTAACAAAACATCTTACGTACACATAAGCTAGACACTACGCAAAACCCTAGGTAAACAAACGCTCGTAAACACATATCTTATCGAAGGACCAAGCAAAATTCAATTGTGGATACCGTCGTTGCGGGTATCACCTTCTGGGGACCTCCTTATGCGGCCATGAAGCATGCGAAGGGTATGCCGATATGGGGCGGGGCGCCATGTGAGCGCTGCCACAAGGGCTTTAGGTGAAACCCATTATGGGGGCGCGAAGCGTGTGAGGGGTGCGCCGCAATGGGGCGGGGACACCGCTGGAGCCTTCGGCTGAGCTCCCTATGTGACAACGAAGCGCTGTACGGAGTGGGAGAGACTTATGCGAACACCGCTGCTGGGGCCTTCGGGGGCCACGACGCACTGTGCTTGGTGGGAGAGACGCATGCGAACACAGCCAATGAGGCCTTCGATGGAGCTCCCTATAGGGCAACGAAACGCTGTATTGAGAGGAGGGAACGCATTCGAACACAGCCAGTGGGGCTTTCGGTGGAGCTGCCTATGGGGCCACGAAGCATTGTACTGGGCGGGGGAGATGCATGCGAACACCGCCACACCGACCTTCGGTGGAGCTCCCGATGTGGTCACGAAACGCTGTATTTGGTGGGTGAGACGCGTGCGAACACCGCCGCTGGGGCCTTCGGTGGAGCTGCCTATGGGGCCACGAAGCGCCGTATTGGGTGGGTGAATCGCATGCGACCGCCGCGACTCAGGTTTCCATGGAGCTCCCTATGGAGCCACGAAGCGTTGTACTGGGTGGGGGAAACACCGCTTCTGGGGCCCTCGGTGGGGCTCCTGATGGGGCCACGAAGCGCTGTACTGAACGGGGGAGACGCATGCGAACACCGCCACTGAGGCCTATGTGTAGCTCCCGATGGGGACATGTCAGGATGGTTGGGAAAGACAACGAAAACAACAACAAAACAAACAACTCCGTAAAAAACACTATGTACGTGCAAGCTCCCCAGGGTGCTCTCGCGGCGCTCCTGGGGCGCTCCTGGCGGCGTTCCCTGGGAAACGCCGCCGGGAGTGCCGCGGGAGCTTCGTCTGCTCTGCATGATGTTTTTTTCGCGTCGTGTCTTCGAGTAGCGTGCCGACGCAGGGCGCTTCTGCAGCGCTCAAGCGGCCAGTTCCCTGCGGATTCGGGCGACACTGACGAGAGACGCAGGCGACAGCAGTATTTGGGTCATTTTCTGCGTAGTGTTTTCACGTCGTGCTTTTGGGTAGCGAGCCGAGGCCGACGCGCTCCTGCGGCGCTCCAGCGGCCTGCTCCCTGCGGCCTCGGGCGCCGCTCGCGCGAGACCCGGGCGACCGTAGCGCTTGCGCGGGCTTTTGCTTTTCTGCGCAGTGATGCCGTGATTCCACGCAGTGTTTTCGAGCGGCGTGCCGACGCAGGGCGCTCCTGCAGCGCTCCGGCGGCCCGCCTCCTGCGGACCCCGGCGACGCTCGCGAGAGACGCGGGCGACCGTTGCGTATGCGCGTTTTTCTTGTTTTTTTGTGTTTTCTGCGTCGCGTTTTTGCACGGAGTGATTTCGAGTAGAGTGCCGACGCAGGGCGCTCCGCTCCTGCAACGCTCCAGTGGCCCTCTCCCTGCAGACTCGGGCGACGCTCGCGAGAGACGCGGGCCCCGTCGTTCGCCACGAGCAGGTGCTCCATGTCGGCGGCGAGCAGGCCCCGTGCGACCATTGCCCAGGTAGGCGCGACCTGGTCGACCTCCTGGGCCAAGAAGTGGCAGTTCATCTCGTTGAAGGCGCTGGGCAAGTCCAGGCTTAGCAGGCCACAGTCCGGATGTGCCTGCAGGGCCGCGGCTGCGAGGTGCACCATTGTCTCCGCGCCGCTTGGGGTCCCCACTCCGTACAGGATGGGGGCGGTGGCAGCCTGGACCGTCGGCCCGAACAGCTGCACCAAAGCCTTCTGTAGCAGGTTCTGGATGGTATTGTGCGCCGCGAGGCCCTGAATCCCGCCGGCGGCTTCAGCAGTCAGCGCGCGCAGCATAGGCAATGTGGCCCGCCCTTCCGCGACGGCCAGCCCCAACGTTTCCGCCTTGGCGCCGTCGCCGGCCAGGCGCAGGAGGGCGCGCCAGTGCTCGTGCCGGGAGCCCCCGAGGCAGGCGGCCACACGCGGCGCCATATGAGCGAGCACCGTGGCCAAAGCTCCCTTCAGCGCCTCTCGGCGGTATGCGGGGTCGGTATGCGCCTCCGAACATTCCGTCGGGAACAACGCCTGAACCCGCCCAGACAAATCCTGCACGTGCGCCAGCGGGGTTGCGTCCAAAACCCTCGCTGAAGCCCGTTGGAGCTCCCCTACCGCCAGGCACTGACGCACGAGTGCCTGTCTGCTCCAATGTTTTCGTCTGCGCCAAGCGCGTCGCTCCCCTTGGGCACGAGGCGACGGAGCCATTCGTCGTGGAAAGATCCCCGCGCGCCCGAAGGTACTATCTCGAACCGCTCGGCCAAGACCTGCCGGAAGGGCAGGGCCTCTTTCTTCCTGTGGCCCTTGAGCCCCAGCTTCCACAGCAAGTACCCACCCACCGCCAAGAGCGCATTCCAGGTAGCGCCTTCCAGCCACGTTGCCAAGGTCGGTCGCCTCCAGCACGTCGTCGATGAGGTTGGCCTTCGCAGACGCGAACGCGTGGAGAATGGGGCTGGGGATCCCCGACGGTGTCGTCACGGGGGCCATGAGCTCCGACCACGGGATGGCATCGAAACGAGCGGCGCCGCGCAGCGCGCTCGAGTCCGCCGCCATGTCATCGTCCTCATCCACCGCGTCCTGCTCCTGAGCTGGCTGCCGCTTCTACGTCGCTCCGAACACCTCCCGCATCCGCGCCTGCAGGTCTGGGAGCAGCTCCGCGACACGCCGCAAGCTCGCCCACCCGCACTCCGCTGGCCTGCAGGTGTGAAGGAGGCGTGCACGAGAGCTGCGCGCAGGCTGCAAGCGGCGCGAGCCCCCGATCGCAATCCGTTGCTCGCACAGGCCGCACATGACGTGGTGCGCTTCCCCTCGGACCGTGACGTACGTTCCAGACCACTGTCTGGGGGCCGGCCGCTCGCGGTCCTGGCGCGGTGCTGTGCCGTGTGGCCGCCAGTGCTACCAGCGCGCGCCTGGCGCCGCCACGCCCACCCGCCGCGCCTGAGCCGCGCCTTGCCGGTGCCATGGGCCGGCGCGCGGAGGCGCGGGAGGAGGGGCGCGGGGTGGAAACGGGGCAGGGCGAACGAAGAGGGAGGCGGCCGGGCAGTGGCTGCGCGCGACTTGTTCTCCTCCCTCATTTTCCTTCCTCCTCCTCCTCCTCCTCCTCCTCCTCCTCCTCCCTCCCCCCATCCCTGTCTCCCTCCTCTTATATCTGCGGTACTGCAGGGATACCGTAGCGGGTGTGACGCTTCTGGTGTCGGGCGTCGGAGAGATGTCCCCCCCTCCCCCATTGGCCCAAAAGCGTGCCAGGACCTGGCGCCAGAGTTCTGGGGTCCTCCTCCTCCTCCTCCTCCTCCTCCTCCTCCTCTTCCTCCTCCTCCCTCCTCTCTCCTCCCTCCTCCCTCCTCCACCCTCCCTTCTCCTCCCTCCTCCTTCTTTTCCTCCTCCTCTTCCCTCCTCCTCATCGTCCTTTCTCCTCATCATCATCATCATCTCTGCTTTTCCTTCTCTTTCTCTTCCTCCCTTCTCATCATTCTCGCTCCTCCTTCTCATCCTAAATGTGCACCGGCTCTGAGCCGCAGCGAGCCGATCCAGCTCACAGTGCTCAGAAGTTGTCGATATGGCAATGTCATGCCGCATGCGGTCGTTTGGCCCGATATCATGGACACGCTGGCATCAGCATACAAGATGGCCCACTCTGAGACCACCCAGGACGCCATCAAGACCTCTCCAACCGCCCCAAGACTCCCAAGATGGCTCCACAAACTCTACAAGGGCCTCCCGAAACGATACCAATAAACACTCGAGATGCCCGAAATTGCCCTCCCCACGAGGCATATCGACGAACATGCAACGCCAACACTGAAGAGCTGGATCGTTGTTACGCAATTTCCCGGAGCGTGGTGGTAGACATGCGCGGCACCGCAATTGGAAACGCAAAGCGTCAGGCGCACAATTACGTTCACTTGTAGCAGACACACGACGGTGATTGCACTGTCAGAGAAAACCAAGGCTGGAAGCCTCTCCAATGCGCATCAATATGCCCCCATCGAGTTCCATGCAACCCTCGATCTCCTCGGTAGCATCCTTATAGGTCTGGACCTTCTTCTTCAACGCTATGATCTCCTGAACTTGCTGTGCACCCCCCTTGCTCTTGCTTCCAGGCTGCCCGCGGAAGCATAATCAATTGGCGTGTAGTTCGTGCTATGCAAGTCCGTGGGCGCTGCAACAGCGGATCTGGGTTCCTACCCATGCCTTCCTGTCTCCCTAAGCTCGTATGCGCCCTCCTGCTATTCTACGTTTTGGTGCCGCAAATCCGAAAGGACTGCTGATACACACGCATACTGTTTTCTGCGTCTGCCCCAGATGTCCCCTCTATGCTTCCATGCATCGGCATCATAGAAAGGGAAGGGGATGGGTTGGGAGTGGAACCGAACCGTCTGCTCGGCCAACCGCTCCGATGTGCAAGGGGCAGGCCCTCGAAAACTGGGCGCGCGAACTCAATTGCGAACATCTTGTGTGGGACACCCCGCGTTCTCATGGGCGCCGCAGATATCACACAAACTCAGGCACCTTCTCAGCACCCACCATGTCCAGATAGTAACGACAATGCCTTGTGTACCCTCCATCTGATCATCACGACATGCCTAGGTGGTTCCCTGGCACACTCGCCGCCCTGACTCTGCCCCCAACTTCCTCATCGATATCGTCGAAGCGCATGTGCAAGCGGCTGAACTTGTTGATCCTCACCTGATCGTCTTTCTCCACCTCAGGCCGTGTTCGAGATCAACCATGGACCGTGTGGTTTGCAATCAACTGCTCTGAAGGATGTCTCCCGAAAGGGTATGTAATCACACCAGAATTGTGGGCGGCAAGTTGCCTAGAGTAGTTGCCGAAGCTCTGACCTGCAATCCCAACACTCCCTGGGGGAAAACATGCCACTATCTTGATTCGTATGTAACCCTCACCCCACCAGACCGGCAACAAACCCGGGACCGTGCCGACCCCCACCCCCGCCCCCCCTGGTAAAACACAATACAGTGTACACTCTGCACTGGACTCTGGATCTTGCGCGGACGTCCCGCGATCACTTTGCATTGGCTTTTGACAGGGACGGCGGAGTGTCGTCAGACTGCCCCTGCCAACATCCTTTGCACAAAATGATCCTGGCTGGCAACGGACCCAACCAAATGCAGTTGTGAATGCTGAATATCGGTTGCAGTTGTGAATGCTGAATCTCCGTATGGGAGCACGACGCGTGTGAGAGGTGTGCCGAAAAGAATCGGGAATCGCATGCGGCCTGCGCCACGGAGGCACGTGGTGAAGCTCCCTATGGGGCCACGAGACGTGTGAGGGGTGTGCCGACATGTGTGGGGGACCGCATGCGAACTGCACCACGCAAGAGATCCCTATGGGGCTACGAAACGTGTGATGGGGTGTGCCGAAAAGAATCGGGAACCGATTGCGAACTGCGCCACGGAGACACTCGGTGATTCTCCGTATGAGGCCACGAGACGTGTACGGGGTGTGCCGCCGTAGGTGGGGAACCGCACGCGAACTGCGCCGCGAAGGCACTCGGTGGAGCCCCCTATGGGGCCACGAAACGTGTTGAGGGTTGAGGGTGTGCCGAAATGTGTGGGCGACCGCATGCGAATTGCGCCACCGAAACACTCTGTTGAGCTCCCTATGGGGCCACGAAGCGTGTGAGGGGTATGCCGAAATGTGTGGGGGACCGCATGCGAATTGCGCCACGGAAACACTTGGTTGAGCTCCCTATGGGGCCACGAAGCGTTTGATGGAGTGTGCCGATACGGGCGTGACGCCCGCATGCGAACTGCGCCACGGAGGCACTCGGTTGAGCTCCGTATGGGGTCACGAAGCGTGTGATGGAGTGTGCCGAAACGAGCGTGACGCCCACATGCGACTTGCGCCACGGAGGCGCTCGGTGGAGCTCCATTGGGGGTCACGAAACGTGTGATGGGGTGTGCCGGCATGGGCAGAGGCAGGGGTGGGAGGCGGGAGGAGCGGGAGAAGGTGGGAGGGACGCGGGGCGCTCTCTCTTCGAAACGAGGACCCAACACCAAAGGATTGTTGGGAAACATGCAACGTGCACACTGCAATCAAATCTGGATCATGCGCGGATGCCCCGCGATCACTTTGCGTTGGCTCCGACAGGGGCAGCGGGGAGGCAACACATTGCATGCTGCGCGCAATGCCAGCATCCCCCAGACATCTGTAAGCAAAATCAAAACTGCATGCGCTTTGAACCAACATCAGAATCATGCGCGGGCTCCCCGCGCTCGCACTGCTTTGATTTTGGAAGCGGATTGTGGGAGGGGCGGCAGATTGCCGGCTGTGTGCAGGCCCACCATCTCTTTCAACAAACAAGTGCAACATTCATTTTGCCAGGGACGGCGGGGGGGAAATGACATACTGCCTGCTGTGCGCAAACCCACCATCTTTGTCACATTATCCGGGCGAGGGGTCCAACCATATGCAGTTGTGAACACCGCGTTGTGGGTACTGCTTTCGGTGAAGCTCCCCATGTGGCCACGAAGCGCAGGAGGGGTGTGCCGTAATGTATGGGGGAAGCGCACGCGGCCGCTGCCATTGGGGTCTTCGGTAGAGCTCCCTGCGGGGCCACGAAACGTTGTACTGGACGGGGTGGACGCGTGCAACCGCGTCCACTGGGGCCTTCGGTGGAGCTCCCTGGGGGAAACGAATCGCTGCACTGGGCGGGGGAGGCGCGTGCGGCCGCGGCCACTGGAGCGTTCAAGGTGGACTTCCACATGGGTCCACGGAGCGCTGTACATGGTGGGGGAGAAGCATGCGGCGAGGTCGCAGTCACTTGGGCTTTCGGTGGAGTTCCCTATGGGGGCCAAGAAACGCTGTATTCGGTGGCGCGGGCGCACGCAAACGTCGCCTCTGGGGCACTCGGTGGATCTCCCTGAGGAGGTATGGGGCCACGGAACGCTGCATTGTGTGGGAGAGAAGGGTGCGGCCGCGGCCACTGGGGCGTTCGGTGGAGCTCCCAAGGGGGGCCACGAAGCGTTGTACTGCGTGGCGCGGTTGTGTGCGACCGTCGCCTCTGGGGCCTTCGGTGGAGCTCCCTGTGTGGCCACGAAGAGCTGTACTGGGTGGCGCGGACGCATGCGGCCGCGTCCGCTGGGGTCTCGGTGGAACTCCCTAAAGGGTCCACGAAGCGGTGTGCTGGGTGACGCAGGCTCATGCGAACGTCGCCCCTGGGGCCTGCGGTGGAGCTTCCAAGGGGGGTCACGAAGCGTCGTACTGTGTGGCGCGGGCGCATGCGAACTCGGCCGCTGGGGCCTTCGGTGTACTGGGTGGCGCGGACGTGTGCGAACGTCGCCCATGGAGCTCTCGGTGGAGATCCCTAGCGGGGCACGAAGCGTTGTGCTGGGAAGCGCGGGCGCATGCGACCGTCGCCTGTGGGGCCTTCGCTGGATCTCCCTATGGGGCCACGAAGCGCTGTACTGGGTAGCGCGGGCGCATGCGAATGTCACCTCTGGGGCATTCGGTGGAGCTCCCGAGCGGGGCAACGAAACGTTGTACTGGGTGGCGCGGACGCATGCGACCATCTTCGGTGGAGCTGCCCATGAAGTCATGAAGCCCGGTGTGTGTGTGTGTGTTGTGCGTATCGAAGTGGTTGGCATGTGGACGACAGAGGCAGGGATGGGAGGAGGGAGGAGGAAGGAGGAGTGAATGAGGAACGCGGGGCGCTGTCTCTTCAAAACGAAGCCAAACACCACAATATGGTTGGGAAAACAAGTTCACAATGATCGTGGGTGCACTCCCGTACACAATACACAATGCTCGCAAACGCCCAGTTACTTTGCATGGTTTCTGACACGGACGGTGGGAGGGTCGACATATTGCCCAATGTGGTGCACATGGTGCGCGTGGGCCAGCTGGCACGTGCGGCGCACATCGCAGGCTTCGCGCACATGGCTGGCGTCTGCATTGGTTCTCGATGGTTGTCGATGGTGGCCGTTGTCCATGCTGACACTCGGGTGCTACTTATGTGTTGGGAGGGCGGGCGGGAGTTGGCGAGACGGCTTGTTGCCTGTGGGTAGCTTAACACTTCTCCATACCCCTTGCCCATGGTCCCATCGTCAGCGGGCCGTTGGGTATACAGGCTCCCCTTTCGCCTGTATGACCGAATACTTTGATTTACAACAGCAAACATAGTCCAATGCTTTGCCAGTTTTGGGTGTCAAAGAGGGCCCTCCAAAGGACGGACAATTTCCGCCACCACCATCATCTTTTCCCAAGAGGCTCCCAAGCTGGCCCAAGAGACCCCTTACCCCCCCGAAATGCCCTACATCAGCCCCCGAGGCTGCCCAAGATGCCCCCAAGGCGTTCCCAAGAGGACCCCAACCCACTCTGCCAAGAGGGTTTCAAAAGGCACCCGAGAGGGTCATGAAAGCCATCTGAGACAGCCGATGCAAAGCGCTCAAGATGGTTCCGAATGCCCACAACAGACTCCCAAGACGGCCTAAGAGGACCCTCAGACGCCATCAGACATCCAACCCGATGTGTGGTCTTAAGACGTCCAGAACGGCCCCAGAGGCTCCTAAGACCGCCCCAAGACGGTCCCTCAGAGGAGTAACGCAAACTGACATTTGGAGCCGTTCACCTTAAGGTGCGCGCCTGAGTTCACAATATGTAACGGCCTTGTGAGGTCTGGGTGAACGTTCTGGCATGCGCAAACAATTTCCTATCGCTCGCTCCAGTCACGGCCTCCGACAAGAAGAAAAAGCTTCATGATACGACGGCTTGTGAAGGACGTTAACTTTATGATTTGGTGGGTGGGCGATGCAGTGCCTGGGATGTCATCGACTACGCTGTACTCAACATGCGTATGTGTCTTTCTAAGCCGTCGTATCAACATCAAGACATCCCATCAATTTGGATGCACTCAGGTCCTTCGCTAGCCCGGAAATGGGCGATGGATCCCGCCCGGGGCCGAATAATTCAAGCACATTAGTGCAGAAACCACCGCTTGCTTCGGCTTTCAACGAAGTGCCTCATTGTCGACACGTTCCTGTGCCACTGGGGGGGCGCAGCGGAATCGTGCCCCACGCATGTCGCATTATTGCTTTCGCTCCATGGGCGCTGCCGAGCGCGCAACTGGCCTTCGAGAAGCTCTGGACCACCAACACCATCCCCACCCCCACCCGGGAAACCTTTGCTCCGCTGGCCAACTTGCGCCCTCTAGGTGGGGATGAGGTGCCGTCTACTTCGGGTTGCGGATCACCCGTCCCCGTCCATATAGGGCGTACGCTGGTACAGCCAACCTGCCCTGCACCAGTCAGGGTTGGGACGGTTCTGGAGCAATGAAGGGCAGGCCCCACTTCAACATATGGAAACAGGCCACGCGGCAACGAAGCCTCTGACAAGCGCAATGCATTTCGGATGAGGAGACGGCCCTCGATCCTTGAATCCTCGAGCCCTGAATCCTTCTTCTTCCCCCTCCACGAGGAGGGCTAGAAGGGAGGAGGCCCTTCCCTCGAACCTCGATCCGATCCCCTCCCCCCAGCGCGAGCGCTTTAGCGCGGGCCTCCTGTGCAGTCTGTGGTCGGACAACGGCCGCAAGCCCAACTCTGCTTGACTCGGAGAGGCCCCTCATCGCATCAGTGAATGAATGCCCCGCTGCGGACCCCACCTCTTCCAAGAGCCTGCTGCGGAAGTGCCCGTGTCCCCTGCCGCCGCCGCTGCCGCCGCTGCTGCTGCAGCTCCTCCGCATCCTTCCCATCGTCCTCATTTCGTCCTTTCTCTCCTCCTCTTCTTCCCTCCTCCCCTTCCTCCTCCTCCGCCGCGCCTTCACCTCCTCCCCCCCCCCTGCGGTCGGCAACCTGGATGTCTCTCTCCTCGACCGCCATATCCCAGCCGGCAGGACGGCGGATGGACGCCTGGGGGGAGCTTCTAACCCCCTGCCCATCTGCCCATCCTCACCTTCCATTTGTTCCTCTCAGCAGAGCCTTGGGCAAACAACGTGTCGGTCGATCACGCTGGGAAGTGCTCGAAGTATACACCAAATCGTCTGGTCGGCCAAACGGGCTCGGTGTACAGGCGCCCGCGCTTCCAAGCCTGTGAGATGCTGGGGCGTCTATGCGCAGAGTTCCTTCGCCGAGTTCATGGGCCCTTTGGCCGCCAAAACGACGTGGTGTACGCATCGAGCCCCTCCGAATTGCGGCAAGAACAGATCCTGCCACCATTGAAGCTTTACCGCGGGCGAGAACGAACATGAAGCGGAAGGGGAGCGGTAGTGGGAACCCGTAGCAAAAACAAACAACAAGTCCGCCGATGCTGTCGGCGTGTGTGAGGGGTTAGTCCGTTCTAGTCGGACCGTTGGTGTCGTTCAAGAAGCCAGAAGCCTTCTAGGGCCTAGCCGACATCCGCCGACCCTGACATCCGTCAAGCCTGTCAACGACAAAATAACCTAGCAATGTCGTAATCGAATCGAAGGGAAGCCCCTTCCCTTTGATCCCTCCCCTGTCGGGGGTGGGGGGGTGGGGGGGAGGGTCAGATACGCACCCTTCCCCTGGGGTTCCCGGGCTGGAAAGAAGTGCCAAAACAAGCCCAGAGTTCCCCAAGAGGTCTCCGAGAGCGTCCAGGAGGGCCGCCACCCCAAGTCGCCCACCTCTCCAAGTATCCCTCCTCCATATCCCTCTCCTGCTCCTATTCCGCACTATTCCGACCGAGCCCCGTCATCTTTCTCCTTTCCACGTCCCCCTGCACTCCCCCCCGGTGCTCAGCCCCCCCCCTCAACCTGTGCCTCCTCATCCCTATACTCCTCCACATGATCGCCACCCTCCTCCTGCTCCTCCTCCTGCTGCTCCTCCTCCTCTTTCCTCCCCTCCTCCACATCCTGGGCGTCGTCTTCCACCTCCTCCTCATGCGGCTCTTCCTCCTCCTTCTCCTCCTCCTCCTCCTCCTCCTCCTCCTCCCTCGCCGTGTTCAGCGTGGTCGTC